TGTTCGTTGTCTATTGATTTTACAGTGGATTGGTATATTACATTGTTCTGCAAGCAATTGCCGTTTAAGGGGCATTCGTTTTTTGCTCTGCAATTATAAGTGGTTTTGATTTGTGCTGGTGTTTTTTTTTTGTTTTGTTTTCCTATGTTTTTTTTTTATTTTTTGTGTAATGTTCTCGGTGCAACTCTAGCTGATTTTTACTGTTTTTTGTTGAATATCTTATGGAAAGTGTATGAAGGGAAAATGTCTATACATGAGTTTTGATTTTAGATGAAAATTTGGAAAATTTCAAAGATATTTCAGTGAAATGTTCACTTTCCATCATTATAATTTAAATGAGTCGAAAATGTATGTGTCATTTTAAAATGACACCAGGAGAATATACGTATTATTATGTCATGTTTTACTTAAAAATGAGGGGCTGCTTGGGAATACCAAGTGTTGTAAGTTAGATTGTGCAGGTGGTGTAATGAAAAACGTTTCGTAATTGTTAATCGGAGAGCTGAGTTCCAATTCCCGTTAGGTTCGTTATATCCACTTTGTGCAAATATCCTTAGGAAAGCTATGAATCAACCTATTCTCCCCATCTATGGGTTAATTAGTAAAGCTTCTATTGTTAAATCATTATTATCGGAAAAATTGTTACAATTTTAAAATATTTTCTGGCATTAAAAAATCAGCATATGGTTGATGAATTGTAGAAAATTAATCAATCAACTTAAAAAAAGAAAAATAGTTACTAGTTAGTTCAAGTTAATTAGGAAAATGACTATAGATTTATTTGCAAATGGTTGATAAACTGTAGGAAATGAATTAATCAATAAATTGACTTAAAGTTAGTTCGAATTAATTAGGAAAATGACTACAGATTTATTTGCGTGTAAATATCATGTAGGATATAAATTAAAGTTTTTTGTCAATTTTGAAATAACAAAAGTATTTACAACTGCTAAATTGTCAGAAGAAAGCAAAACATAAATTAGGTTATTTTGTATTTCTCTATTGAGATTTTGTAATTGTCAATATTCTTGTATTATATCGAACTATTATTCTCAACTTGGTTAGTAAAGATTTCTTTTAATCATTTTCCCCCGAAGCAAGGCAAGAAAGCCACTAAAACACAAGGGGTTACTGAGTGTAGAAGAATAAGAAAAGAAAGAGAAGCATTATTAAGAAGCAAGAACAACAAAAGCTTAATCAAGAAGACAGTAGATGACAATTGAAATTGCATTTGAATTTTTGAGGATCAAAATTGTCTGGAAAGGTTGTAGCTGGAAGAGACTTCCGCAAGCGAGAAGTGCGACAGAAGAAACTGTTAGCATAGAACTTACGGTTACATCTAACCAATTCAACTGTAAATTGATGAAACCTTGCCGCCAATCTAGTACTGCGCTTAAGTTAATAAAGTTTAGGTATCATTGCGGAAGGTTCATCAGAACAATTACCATGAAAGTATTTATAGAAAAGGCACAGGGAAGCTACGTTACGGCGATGAGAAAAGCGACTGAAGCCGAGATGCCAGGTCAGGACCAATAACACTGCAGATTATTCATTGGATTTTATGAAGAATCGCTAAATATATAGCAGAAGCTAGAGCACATGTTGCAGCAATATTCAAAACATGGGCGAATGATAGATTGATAAATATCTAAGGTAGATTCAGGGGAGAAAGATTTTTTAGCCCCCACACAGTGAACCAATTTACTTAGCTAACAACTGATTCAGCCAAGATGTGAAGAATAGTTCGAAATAATACAAGAATATAACAATCAATTCACCATTCTGCCATGTTTCAGGCTCTTTCAGAATTGCATCCTCCCAGAATGCTATTTTATCTTTCTAAACAAGCAATACTTACCTATATCTATTTTTCGGTTCTCCATGGAAATTTAGTTTTTTCATTATGACATTTTTCCCAAAGTCTCGACTTTGGGAAGAACTGTCATAATGGAAAAAACTAAATTCCTTCCTTCCCAAAACCTCGGCATGCTATTTAACAAATGCATAGTGTTAAAAAAAACCGTCACAATACAACGAAAAGGTATTCTTTTTTTTAGTGTGGATTGTTAATACCACCTAAGGACAAAATCAGAACGAACTTTTAGCGGTAAAAAAAAACGGAAAAAATATTTTGATTAGAAATGTCTTATCTTTGTGTCGGAATGTAAAAATCTACTTACCACTGTCAGTATCACTTGGCCAGGATATTTTGGTAACCACTCAAGTAAGGGAAGATGGCTGTAGTCTTTTAGACCCAAGTGGAGACTTCTGGAATGATATCCAATTTAAAATATTTTTAACTGAAATGTCTAATTAATTCGGTTAATAAATTTAATTATTTATATATATTAAGTTTACATTAGGTAAGCATGAGATGGAACAACTACACTGAATCAATAGCTTCATCTACCACAAAAAAAAGTTGGTTCACTGTGTCGCGCCTGAAGGTTTTTATCGTCTGAATCCATCCTTCAAATCTACAAATCAACCATTCGCCCTTGCTTTGAATACTGTTGCCATATATGGTCTGTTGCCCGCACTGTTCATCTCGAGGTCGTCGACAAAATCCAGAGACGTATATGCAAGGTGATAGATCCTGATCTGGCATCTCGTCTACAGTCACTTTCTCACAGATATGATGTGGCCGCCCAATGTCTTTTCTACAAATATTTTCATGACAACTACTCTGACGAGCTATTTTCACTGTTGCCCCGTCTGCATAAATTTAAGCGTCTTACTAAGTTGGCAATCTCGGTCTCACCCTTTCACTGTCGAAACAGTTAAATGTAAGCATCTCTTCTACTCCAACAGCTTCTTCTCTCGCACTTCCCGACAGTGGAACTCCCTTCCTCTTACTTGCTTCCCTGATAGCTATAATCTCAAATGTCATGTCAACCGGCATCTTCTGAGGCCTTGATCTTCATCCCTGTCCTTCTATATAGCCTTTCCTCGAACACCCCTCTTTACTATTGCTCTCACTCTCTGTAACCCTTTTCGTGCCTTTTGGCATTCCTGCCTTGCTTGGGTTGAAATGCTTAAAAAAAATTAAGGAAAGATGTCTCTGTTTTCCTTGAAAATTAATGTTCAAAATGTTAACTTTTATTTCGGCTCGAACCCTGACCAACATTTCACCTATGAAACACCATACGACTTTTCAAACAAGAATTCAGAAGCTAGTAAGTATGGCGATAAATCTTGTTCTTTATGACAATAAAATCAGAAATCGATCTATTTCATCGATCTTCATCTGCATTCTATGTCCCTTCAAAATGTAGACGTTCATGGCTCTCCACAATTTCTTATCCTTTGTAGATCTTAATAAATGTTGTCATTTTGTTATTCCTCCACACCCTGTTAAGTAGTTTAGACATTTTTTCCTCTGTCGCTCTTGCCTTCAATCTATCCTGAGGGTATCAGATTTTCCAACCCCTTTCCTCATTATGTGCTTTAAAAATTTCAATAGTCTCTTTCTGATGTTAATTATAAGTTTCGTTTTTGTTTCCATTTTCTCTAAAACTTCGTAGTTGCTCACATGTTCGATCCATAGTATCCTCAGCATCCTTCTGCAGAAACACATTTCTGTTGTCTCAAGTCTCTTCTGCATCTTTGAAGAGGTCGTACAACATTTACTACTATATAGGAGGACTGATATTATGTAACGGTTCACGATTTTTTGTTTCATTTTAACAAATTTTTCCTGTTTCTTAATACTCTGCTTAGCTTTTGAAATGCAACTTTGTCTATCCCAATACATCTTCAGATTTCAGTGTCACACATTCCGTCCTCTGTTAAAACATTTCCCAGATATCTAACTTTGTCTTTTTTCTTTGTTTTTTGGTTATTTTTGTTTTGTTTTGTTTTGTTTTTTTTTGTTTTTTTTTTGTATCTCCAATTTGTAATTTACATGTTGTCTTTACTCGTTCTATCAGAAGAGTCTAGAAAAGTGGTTCTCAACATTTCATTCCTTGTGGCCCATTTCATGCGTTTCTACTAAAAAATCACAACTGTCAGTTACATTAATTTTTTTTTTTTTTTGCCTTAGCAAAATAAAAGATGATATCGGATGAGATAGAAAGTTCTTCAGAAAATAAAAATGAAAAGAAAAAAAATAACTACGGCGCCTTCCTTCGAAAGTTAGAAAGGATTACTATAAAATCATTTAATGTCATCAGCAAATTTGTTAGTCCCTTTTGAAGTTGCCAGAGATATTAATACATTTCTATTGGTACTACGACCTGATCGTTAAGATATATATTGGAGAGGGCCATGACCGAAGATCGCTTTAGGCCTGACAATGACAATCATCATAGGGTTATATATATATATATATATATATATATATATATATATATATATATATATATATATATGATTATTTATTTAAAGATATGATTCCAAAATAAATTTTTAAATAAATAATTATATTTATGCTCTACTTTTGTATCGAGCACTATTTTTTAAAAATAATAACTAAAATACTAAGGAACTTTGGATTATTTACCTAACCAGTTCCTTCCTATTTTCTATATATTTTCACACACACACACACACACACATATATATATATATATATATATATATATATATATATATATATATATATATATATATATATATATATATATATATTTCTGTTTTTGATTAAACATAGATATAACTGTCCAACTGTCTCTTCTTTTTTCGGATCGACAGGATTGCATAAAAAAATTTTAAAAATTCAATTCCTAATTCACAAGTTTTCTTGATGCAAATGTAATACTCGTATATGGTATCTAAATTAACTAAAACATTTGATCTAAACAAAAGAAATGGTAAGTAACTCGTTTTAGCCTTTCACAACCTCTTTTAATTCCCGATAGACAACGAAATTAGAAATTGGTTTGTCTCCATCGAGGCCGACAGTCATATTCAAACCTTTTTATCGTTATTACCACCGGATAGATAAGATAGTTATTGGAGAAGGATTTACTTAAGTGTTCACTGACTCAATGTCTTCCACGTCAAACATTTTGACAAATCAATGACGAAATATTTTTTGTTAACGTATCTAGCAATAGAAGAAAGAAAGAAAGAAAGAAAGAAAGAAAGAAAGAAAGTTCAGTAGATTTTATATATTTTCCAAAGACGAAGTAAATACGAGATCTGAACCAAGATTGCCGATACTGTGTGGATAATTGTTATGTCACTTCTCAGCGCCATAAACTGCCAGCAATTGAGAATATAAATGCACCCAAGAATAATGGGGGATTAAAAGCCAGGCTACTCGTAGTGCAGTAACTGCGTGTCTAGTCCGTTTGGCCATGTCTAAGGACTTTGAATCTCACTCAGTGGTCCATACAAAATTCGACATTAAATAAACCAACAAGGGTTGACATGTCGGCAAATCAACCAGCCAGCAACGGGTGGGGCAATGACTAGCAAGGCTGCTCTGACTAGCTGTTGCTACTAAGTACTGAGTTCGATTCTCACTGGGTACCCCATAGAGAATTCGACATCAAGTGACCCAATAAAGTTTGATATATCGTAAAATCAACCAGCCAACCACTGACTTCATGCATCTTTCATTTTTTTGTTAGAAACTCACCTTTTGACAGTTTCAAACATTATGGCTTCAAGATTTCCTAGCCATTGTTCTACTGGACCAAATATCTTGATGACTCTGATAAAAATAAATAAATAAATAGATCAAATAAAAAAAGGAACATCTCCTACAAACATATATACACACTGGTGATTAAAACATGGAGAATTCATTATTTTTTATAACATAGTAATTGATGTAACAATATATTTAAAAATACACCCAAAGTCCAAATATAACGCTGAATTTACATATGAGATAAGTGAGAGGAAGCTCAGAGCTCCATTGTCCAGAAGGTACCGTATTAGCATTAAAATCCATCCGATCCTGCATTTTCGTGAGTGTCATATGTTAGTTACGTTACGTGTCCTCTCTGGGTGTTAGTGGTCTATTGACAGTTCCTTAGAAGGGATGTCAACACTGCATCAACAGACGAGAACAAACAATTTTCTTCGCGTTTCCTTTTAACTTGCTTTTAATTTAACATAGAAAGGATCGTTTCTTGGAGGAAGCAAGAGAAAAGAGATAGCGAAAATGGATCTTAACAGTTGTCAGACACCCATCCTCTTCACATTTGTGGCTTGTCTCCGAGCTGAAAACTATAGGTACTGTCATATAGGAGGAATATGTATAACTACCGACACTGAGGTTCGATCGTGACACTCTGGACTTATGACTTATGAATCTCACTGAGTGGTCCATACAAAATTCGACATTAAATAAACCAACAAGGGTTGACATGTCGGCAAATCAACCAGCCAACAACGGGTGGGGCAATGACTAGCAAGGCTTCTCCGACTAGCTGTTGCTACTAAGTACTGAGTACTTAGTAATTGATGTAACTTATGTTTTCTGACTACAGCGATTATTTAGTGGAACTATCCAGTCGGATTAGTGTGAATTATTATGGGCCGAGGATTTTGATTTAAAATTTACCGAACGTTAAGCCGAAACGCGCTACTAATAAATTAATCACTTTTACTTGATTGTTTTTGTTAAGTATTTATTTGCGGTTGTAATTGAATACTGTTTTATTTAATATTGAAGCCTTGAGTTATATTTAATTATTAATGTCCACCGTACGTCACAAAATTTACACAATGGAATCGGGGAAAGGAAGGCCCAGAAATGCATTAACGGCCCCATTGCTGCAAAAGAACTCCTCGATAATTTTTCGGTTTTATATTAAAATTTAAACAAAGACAAACATTGATGTCAGGATTCTACACTCATGAGGTTCAAACCTCCCCCCACCATTCAATTCGGGTCACCAGAGTTCTGGACAGTACGGTAGGGTTTAGAATCATATTCGTTATAATTATCATTTTTATCTAACGAATTGTATAGCAAGACTTACGGTCATATCACGTTGAAACATTGATTCCCGTATAATCACTGAAGTCAGACAACGTCGATCCCGATCAGTAACTAGGTGGATGACAGCTTGGGAATACCAAAGTGGTGTACGCTCGAATGTGCAGGTGGTGCAACTGGTCGGAATTGTTAATCGGAGAGCTAAGTTTCAATTCTTGTCAGGTTCGTTATATTCACTTAGGCGAAATACCATTGGGAAAGATGTGAATCCAGCTCTTGTCTCCTCAGCTATGGGTTAATTAGCAAGACTTTTATGACTAGGCTGTTATTATTATCTTCAAAGAAGAAATTCTTACAAACTAAAAATATTTTCTGGCTTTAAATAATCTGCAAAAGCTTGATAAACCATAGAAAATTAATAATTCTATAACAAATATAGCAATAAATCATTGACTTGAAAGCCAAATGGTAACCACATTTTAATAATATTATCCGATCCTGGCTTGATTATTGCTTGCAAAAATGGGAAATGTTTTTCTTGGACCTGAATTTAAATCACTTTAACTAGAAATGGCAACCGAAAACAGAAGTCATCAAAGCCAGGAATACATTTTAAAATGACACAAAACAATTCCATTATGAAATCTTTCTGATAACAGAAGTTGCCGTTCGAGTTCATGTAAAGAATTCCTTGTAAGTTAATAGAGTGAAATCTTTAATCTTCCTCTCGGAAATTGCAGCACTAAGGTTTCATCTTGAGTGAGAGTTGTCATCTATGGTTTTGTGTCATCTCAAAAGTATCAGATGATCACTCAGTTTGTGTTATCACCAACTATCGATAGAGAAGAATGTTTTGCTCGTAAATTCTCTTCCAGGTCTACTCTCGACTCATCTGGAGTATCTTTGCCCAACTTTCCACTTAGAACTGAGCCTTTATTGTGTGATACGCACATAAATCCGTACATGGCATCTGCTGTCAACTCTAAACAGGACCCCCCACGACAAAATATGTGGGCTCAACAATATTCCTACAATAGTATTAAAGTCATATGCTTCATTAAACGTCATGCTGCTTCTTGTTTTCCGTCTTGTTACAATTCCTCTTCTATTTTTCTTATTTTTAACAACTCGGGCGAATCGTTTGATCCTTCGAATTACCAACCTCTTTTTAGCAAAGTACGAGAGGCTCTAATCAATTAAAAATTGGTCGTTTATTGGGCAATATGGTTTTCGCTTCCCTAGGTCTACTTCCGATGTGCTAACAGTTATTGCCGAAAGAGTCTCTCAAGTTTTAGATAGAAAAATTTGAAGCTAGGACTGTTGCTGGAAGGTGTTTGAAATGCAGGTCTTCTTCACAAGTTGAAAGGTGTTTCTGGTTGGAATTTTGACTTTATATAATGTTCTTATCAAATCCTGCAATGAAGATTATCTTGAATGGCTACTCTTCTAGATCTTTCTATATAAATCCGGTTGTTTCCAGGTGCTTTATCCGAGGATCTACTTTATTCCTAATTTTTATCAACAAGTTCCCGATCTGGTATCTATGAAAGTGACACAACTAGTTACTCCTGCATTAATAGTAAATTTAAACAAGTTCGATAAAAGTCAAATCTGCAGCTTATATAAAAAATCACCTCCAATTTATTGGTACCTCGGCCAAGAAATAACTTGCGCATTTTAACGCCTCCAAAACTAAACTGTTCTCTTTTAATCATCTTAGAGAACATTTATTTTTGCCTGACGTCAGCATGGCCGATGCTAACCTCCAGCAAGGTAACTCAATATACCTACTCAGTCTAACATTTATGAATTGGAATTATTATATTGAATCAGTTGATAAGTCTGACGCTAAGTTTGTTCACTTGCCAGAATCTATCTTACGCCATGACGTTAGTTGTCGTCTGCCTTTTGGAACTTGTCCTTTTATTGTCATTTGTAATTAATAAGGTTTTCTCCGTTTCTTTCCCTCTCAGTAAGCTCTTTCGTCCTAGTGGCTTTATTGTCTTGCTTGTGAGTGAAATAGTTACAAAAATACATTCTCCTACCTTGATAAGGGCACTGTTTCTCCTTCTATCGATGTCATAGATATTATGTTGTCAGGTGGCCTCTCTCCAAAAACAATTCCAAGACAATGAATATTACCAAAACATTTCCCCAAATGGCGCTGACAAAAGAACAGATAGAAAAAGTTGTTATAAAATTCGACATAAACTGTGTCAACCACAACATGTACTGCTTTGTTATCTTCGGGCATTTTTCTTTACAATGATGTTTACCCTGTACAAGGCCCAAGAGCCAGTCTATTACAGAATAAGAAGTACAGCTTGTGGGGATGTGTGTTATAACGGTTAACCATAGACTTGAACAGATTAAGCAGTCAATCTTAATCTAGATTAATTACAATCTCCAGATAAAATGACATAATGTTAAACAAGTAGATTTTCTTGATGTTACGTTAAATCTCGTTAATGATATATTTCAACATTTTATGAAGAATGATACCAACCCAATTTATATTCATCCCAATTCTAACCACCCTCCATCTGTAATCCAACATATACCTTCGTCTGTAGAACGTAGGATTAGCGAACCACCCATCTGACAAAGATGTGTTTGATAAATATAGCAATATTTATAATAAAGTTTTAAAGACTAGTGGTTATAAGTACATAGAAATCAAGTTTAGAAAATATGATGATAGTGGTCCAAAGAAAAGAAATAGAAAGATAATTTGGTACCCCAACCTACCATTTAAACCTTTAGGTCATAAGTTCCTCCATTTGATTGGTAAACATTTACCTAAAACTAACTCTCTTAGTAAAATATTTAAAAGAAACACATTAAAACTAAATTATAGATGCACTAATAATCTTGAGAAATTACGCAATAATAAAATTTTAAACCAGTTTAATAATTTGGATCTAAAATTATGTGAAGTCAGTAAACTTGTTTTGAATTCACACAAATAGAGAACATGGGTAAAGTTCCAGTAAAATTTAATATAAAGTAAGTATTTTCAAATTTGTAGAAAAAGCGTTTCCAATCATAATGTTATTTTGTTTTGTTTACTTTTGGAGCGTTCAGTTTCTTCCTTTATTTACCTCTTAAATATTTATTTACAGCAATAAAATAATAATAAATATTAATAAATAAAGAATAATAATAAATATTAATAAATACTTATTTACTCAAATATTCATTTACATTTTCTGGAAGATTCAGTTTCTTCACTTCTTATTTATCTCTGAAATATTTATTTTTAGTAACAACAATAATAAAAATGTCCTCGTATATTTAATGATAATTTCATACGTTTGTTAGTTTTATTCTTTTCTTATTTATTGATTTGTTTCTATTACTGTCATTAAACTCGAAGTGGTACATTTGATAACGAACGATACCTAGTGTCAAATAGATATGGTCGTCCCTTGCCATGATAGAAGGCTTACTTGTCCCAGTGATCCCAAGAACGAAGATTTCTGGTGTTCCAACTCCTGTAGGGCCATCCATGTCGGTTTTCGAAGCGGGAGGACCAAATCGTACGCAACCAACGCTCGATGGCCCCAAGGCTGGAATAGACACAATCTCAATGGCCAAACCAGAAGAACAAGGCAGCGCCAATCGGGCTGGCGTAACCAAGGCGGACCTTAACAGATCACGCATCCGACAGCCAGATGCAATCAGGTTTGCCAGATCTCGTTTGTCTCAATCCCCTTTGGGTTGCGACGAAGGAGCTTCTGGCCAAATGTGTGAGCTTCTCTGTTTATCAAATTCACTCGAATGGTCTCGTCAAACTCTGATTCACAGCCAGCTCAGCCACCGTTGCAAGAGGAGAGAGGAAGGGAATGGAGAGAGAGGATGACGATCCCGATTCTCGGATGCAAGCGGATGCCAACAACAACGACAATTATCCAAATATTTTTTCTCAGTATTCCCTGATGAAATAGTGACGAGGTCTTATATGCCACCCAATATGGCACTCAGACAATTAGCATATATTTTCAAATATTTTTATCTTTTATCGTTTGTTTGATTTCTTTTGAAATACTTTTTCAAGATGTGGTTCAAAAAGTGAAACGTTTACGTACCTGAATAGCAATGGAGTCTCTACAATTTGCTAATACATCCAGCAGTTCCTCGTTGCTCAGAAAGAAAAACCGGGGAAATGTCAGGCGTTTGGTCTCGAGATAATCCTACAAGAATTTCAGACAAATATTATAAACAGTAGCCGTATAAATATGGTTACAATTTCAAACGAACAAATAAACAACAAAGAATAATTCTATCAACACATTGAATGCCAACCACAAGATAATTCTTGGTTGACAGTTTTTATTATGACAACGACCAAGATTTATTTTGTTTTTTGTGGTTTTGCCATCAAGTCTACAACCAGAAGATTTTACTTTGCTTTCAACGTAAGTACCTGGCACAAGAACGAAAGGCCCAACTAAATACTTATACTTTTAATAGTAAGTCTTCAGTTTAATCTATAAATCAACACACAAAATAAATCAAACATATGAGAACTTTAGAGGTAAAATCACCTTTAAATAGCGGAAGAATTTTTATTGACTGGACATAGACATAACTATCAAATTAGCTTAAATCCGACCTATGACGATAAACTACATTCGGCAGCAAGTCCTCTAATCGGGAGACTGGAGGTTTTGAGAAGCGTGGAAGAACCAACTCTTAATTGCTGTTGTTCCTGACCCGAGGTGATTGCATCTATTAAGGTCTCAGTTATGGGCAAACAGTGAACCCTCAAACAAAAGCAAAACACTATAAAAGTATAAAAATATATTTTCGTAGTAAAAATACGAGGAATACATTTTATATAAAAAATGACCAGCAAAATATATTTATAGCAAAATGACCATTTCATCTATAGTTGAATGCATACCATTGCATTTAAAGTATATTTAGTTGAAGCCATAAAATTGAATTCAAAATATTTAGACCAGCATTAAATAACCCATAGAGATGTTGATAGGCCGCTAAACAAAATCAACCAAATCAGCCAAATTAGTCTCAGTGAATATACCTGACCAGATAAAGTTGATTACGAACTTTAGAAGTTTATGCTTTTTTCTGGAATATGCATTTTTCTCGTCTCTATATATCCATCTGAAATACAAAATATGCCAATTTTAAAATCATTGCATATTATATATTAGCACATTGACTGCGAGCTAGGCGAGAACTCCTCGACTACGAGTTATCTCGTCCCAACTACGAGTTATCTCGTACCTGGCATTTTCTGATGCTCATGACGACTTTATTCGCACTGATACTTGTGAAAATAATGTGAAAATAATTATGAATAAATAGTGTGAAAATAATGTTCAGTTAAGGCTATAAATCAACTCATAAGACTTTTTATTGCCTAAGTTTGACAATCAACATGTTAAGCAAAACTAAACAATACATTTATAGAAGGTGAAAAAGAACAAATCCAATTTATCTACACGCACACACAGACACACAGACACACACACACACACACATATATATATATATATATATATATATATATATATATATATATATATATATGTATGTATGTGTGTGTGTGTATTTAAATAAAAAGAATAATAACTGATACAATGATACAGACATAAGGAAAACCCAGACATTCCTTGTCCAATTGACGTAGATTTATCTGTAACCATGGAAACGGGATTTTAGCTGTGTCTTTAAAACCCAGTAATTTTAAAAGTTACTCCAAAATTCGCTTGAGGATGAAATGGAACTAATGTCTTTAATTTAATTGCAAAATTAAATTCGTGGCTTTTAGCTTCCATTTTTGAAACATGGTTAGAATTGTGTAGCGGGAAAAAAACACATTTTAAATCAATTAATTTATAATATATATATATATATATATATATAAACACTTTCAGGAGGAGTAATGGATAGCAGCTCGGATTAAGGAATCGGAGAGACAAGTTCGAATTCCAGTCGGATCTATTACATTCACTTGGGAAAGGTATAGATCCTCTTCTTCTACTCCCAGCTATGCGTAAATAGCAGGACAGACTGAGTTCTATAGCCTTGGATGGCAACTGGTCTAGGAGAAGGACAATTCTGAATTCAAAACCTGCGCAGGGTCGTTTGGCAAGCTTGTGGCACGTAGTGCATGGGATCTCTGCATTCGACCCTTCAAAAAGTGTGGTTGGTTCTGCACGAAAGATTCACCACTATATTCAAATGCAGGTATGCAGGTATCTGGCTGCCGGTTCCTAGGAACTGAGTTGCTGACCCTCATACGTCGAATACGTCGGGAGGGCCCACGATAGATAGATAGATAGATAGATAGATAGATAGATAGATTGTGTAATTAGACAGTAATCTCTCTTTTATACAAGTCTCGTTAAAAACGACTGACATGGTGTTGAGATTTAGCTTTTTAATTAAAAAGTGTGTAAAACTTTCCAAATGTTCTGCATTTTCGAGCGCTTTCGACTATACTTGTAGCCATTATCAAGGATGATTTTATTCACTAAAGAAAGCACACGAGAATTCATCTTCTTGTCTGCTTTTTCTTAAAGAACACAACAATGCAAAATAGGCACTAGTTAACAATGGTTTTCCTAACTGCCTCATCGACTACGAGATTAGACTATTTATTTCCAAAGTAAATAATAACGATACTGAATTTTGGTAAATATATCTGTTAAAATGAGATGCCAGTTTACATTTTTGCGTATACCATTTCTGAATAGTTATTGGACTTTTAATCCGACATTATTTTTTCTTCATACAAACGTTTTATCTATTTACCTCCTACTATTAGAGATGACCACTAAATATAAGGTTTATAGTAATGACATACATTAGATATATATATATATATATATATATATGCATGTGTGTGTTCGTGTTTGTGTGTGTGTGTGTGGAGACAATGAGACAAAGCACAAAAGCTTTTAATGAAGCGATTCGCCGACGTGTGTTGAATTTTAGGTTATGGCGATTTTCTAAGATTTATCTAAAACTGAATCATACATTTTGGAAGCTTGACTTGTGTTTGTTTTGTTTTGTTTGTTTAAAGGCACATCAACTCTTTATGGGTCATTTAATGCCAAAATTTACAAAAATGTATTGCTGGCAATTTTTCTTTTACAAAAATGGACTGCTTGTAATTCCTTTACTATGAAAAATGCATTGCCGGCACTTCTAGTACAAAAATATATTTTTATACTTTCATAGTGTTTTGACCCCAGTTTCGGGTTAACTATTTGCCCATAGTTGGATGCTACCATATTGAATCATGGTGGACCTGTGAACAACAGCAATTAAGAGATGATTTCACGCTCATCAAAACTTCCTGATCTGTTTGTCCATCTAGTTTGTCGCTACACCCAGGAACGATTGACTTGTGAATTTAGCAGAACTGACAATTTCATTCGAACAAGATCAAAAAAAGAACTATTTAGTCATTGTTATAACAATTAAAGACGGAAAAAAATTGATATAAAACCTCAAGACTCTTTTGAATTTTGTCCAGGTCCATATTGGAACTCTGCAGAATGTCATGAAGACCATGTCGAAGAATGGCATTGGGTACATTAAGATCGTCTCTCAAGGACTGCATCAATTCACGCCATTTTCGGTCAACTTTCAAGAACATAAGGTATTCATTTGGAAGCTGTCTGCAAAATAGAAGGGATTTCAAGAAAATCATTTTGAAATTTTAACTTTTCACCATGTGAATATTGTCACTATTATTCGCAAATTGGAAAAAAACAAAGAGACTTTTCATTAGAATTTAGTATAAGTGGTATGATATATATATATATAAATATATACTACTGGATTTTACCGTAGTTATCGACCTATGAGAGTCAAGCAGATCAGTTCTTAGAACCAACATCCAAATTACCTACATTACCTACATATCATTTGATTCTAGTGGCGAAGGATAGAGCAGAACGAACCACAATCTGTCCTGCTTTTTATCCACTGATGGGGGGAGAAGCGAAGGTAATGAACTCGACAAGAATTCGAACTCGGCACTCTGATTCCACAATTCGAACCGCTATCCACTACTATATATATATATATATATATATATATATATATATATATATATAATAGCAACAGATCAGCTAATCACCCTACATTGTTTTCAACCTTTTGATATCCTCAGGCGATATATATATATATATATATATATATATATATATATATATGTGTGTATGTATGTATGTGAGGGAATAAAAAAAAAGAAAAACTTATCTTAGTCGATATGTTTCTTTTTCTGAGAGACTTTATCAAGGCAAATGTCACTTATATATATATATAAAGAAAGAAAGAACAGTAAGATATATAATCCGGTGTTCTTATTGATTTTTTTTTTTTTTTTACAAAACAGTGCTCAATGTAAATATACAAGGGATAAATATTATAAACTAAATGATTTAAAATATGGTTTCTTCGCTACACAGTAATAGCCATGTTTCAAAACCTGAAGCTAAAAACTTCAAATTTAATTATATAATTAAATTAAAAACATTAGTTCTGTTTCATCTTCAAGCGAATATTGCAATAACTTATTTTTAAATTGACTGAGTTTTAAACGCACCTATAAATTCATAATTTCCTGTTTCCAACAATACAGAGAAATCTATTCATTTAGACAGGGGCGGTAGTGTGTCCATTTTTATTAACTATTGTTGTATCAATTATGAGTTACGTTCGAAAAAGAGGTTATGTCTAGGGAGGGTCGGGGTATATTTTTCAACGAATTCTGACATACGTTAAACGCATGTCGTCTGGGTTTTTTTTTTATTATTAACGACAAAAAGTTTTTCGGCATTTTTTCGTCCTTGTATACTTGAAAATTCTTTCTAAAAGGGGTGTTTGGGTTAGAATACGTTTATATTTAACTACAATTTTAAAATATTTTTACTCTTAATTACTAATAGAATATATTTCTTTTTTAAATTAAGTAAATGTAATAGAATTACTTAAATTATTTAAAAATTATTTCTTCTATCACTCCTATCTGATCTTGCTCTAAATTTTCTGTAATCCATTGCGTCCTAGTGGCTCCCTGCCTATTTGGGGTGAAATGTTTAAAATATATATATATATATATATATATATATATATATATATATATATATATATATATAGTTTCTCATGTATGCACATAGGACATGGGTCATTTAATGACCTACATATTCTTGCTTTTCTTATTAATTTCCATTTTACTGTAGTGTTTTATTGGGTTTTTTTTTAAAAGAACTCAGTAAATTTAAAAATAAGTTATTCCAAAATATTGCACATTGAGTGCTGGTGCTAATAAATTAGTGTTCGACGTAAAACATCTATAATTTATATTAATAATAAATAATTTATATTAATAATAAATAATATATTTTTCTCGCGAATTGCACAACTCTGAACACAACGCAATTTCCAGGTGAAGACTGAAAATCAATGTGTGTGCGTGTGTGATGTTTATTCTTTAATTATTACCAAACAGTTTTCTGACCTTTGGATGTCAAGGGCGCCAAATATTTCTTCAAAATAAATCCAACTTCTTTGGCAAATTAGCCAAATATCCAAAGTACGCAACATTGTCTGCAATTTTCTTTCCCACTCTTCGACAGAAGCCTGCAGAAAAGTAATAAAAAACAAACAAACAGTGTTTTATATTTGTTTTTGTAGAATTACTCACTCGGAACGGACTGGCAAGATAACTTGCAAAACGATATCTCTCTGGTAATACCATTTTTTCTGGAACCACTGATTGTACATTTTATGAAAAGATTTTAGTGTCTTTGAAGGAGAGATGAGGTCCTACATTCAACCATCAGTTTCATATTCTCACAGAAATCACTGAAGACTTAAAAAAACAAAAACATTATGAAGAAACAAGAACAATAGAAAAGTAGTCAGGAAGACAGTAGATAATGATTGCATTTAAATTTTTAAAGATCAAAATTGGCTGTAAAATATGGAACCGGAAGAGAGCTCCACAAACGAGAAATGTTAAGTGAAGAAACTTTTAGCATATAATTACGTTTAGATCTAACCAATTCAACTGTAAATTGATGAGACCTTATTGACAATCAAGCACTGCGCTTAAATTCATAAAGTCTAGGTTCTTTAGCGAAGAGCCCATTCCAACAATTACAATGAAATTATTTATATAAAAGGCACAGGGAAGCAACTTTACGGCAGTGGGGAATTGACTGAAGCCGAGATGTCAGGTCCAAACCAATAATATTGCTGATCCTTCTTTGGATTTTATATATCTAAATATATAGCAGGAACACCGGACCATTCTAAGCATGAATGGATCGTAGATTTATAGATATGTATGATCGATTCTAGAGAGAAAAATTGTTAAATCACATTCATGAATATATGACCCCTACTCTTAGTAATAGACTATTATTTGAAATTTAATTATTAGAATTTCTTTACAGCATGAATTTGAAGTTGAGAATTCCATGATTCTTAAAATTAAATAATATTTCTTTCCTTGTATTAATTTCTTTACGTTTTGAATGGCCAAACTGATTTTGAATACTAATAAACCTCAAAAACAAGACTTGCCGCAACTAGACATTTTTACCTTGATTGGTCGAACGTATTTGGAAGCTCGAATGGTTGCAATGGTCACCTGACTTTCTTCAAGCAAAGGAAGCAAGTCTTCAACTCCAACGATGATCCATGAATTGGCGTGAGGTATTATTTTAAGTTGAGTCATCTCCCACAAATTGATGATCTATAACGAAAGAAAAAAGTGCTCTTGTCCAGCGAAAATCAAAATATCATCTTTTTATTATATGTTAAATGTCTCAATCTTTTTTTAAAATATTTTAGAATTATCATTATTATTATTATTATTACTATTTGCTTTACTAATTTGAGCAGCATAGTCATCTTCGTTGTGATGCTTATAAAGTTTCGAGTGTTGCATCCTCTGGTTTTCTTCAGGTATCTGTGGTTGTACACGGTAAACTTTTGGAATTTCAAACTAAAGCCTTAATTCAGTCAACGGAGATATATTGTTCCTTGCTTATCGATTCATCTGTCTGACTTCCAAAAATTCATCCAAGGTTATCAAGTACGAAGACAGATACTCGAAGAAGGCCAGAGAGTACAACGGCCGAAACGTAGTAAGTCTAACAACCAAGATGAACATGCTGGTACGAATAATAAATTAAATGCCGAAATCAATATTTTTTCAGATTTTTTTTATCTCACGGCACGCTTGAACCCATAATTAAACTTATTAAATTTTGATGAGCAAAAAAAGGGTATACTTTCTTATGATTTATTTATTAACACAAAAACAAAACAATTTATATATTGTAATAAAAAGATAATAATTTAAACTTTTTCTTTTATTATGTTTTTTTTTTAAATATACGCTCTTAAATAGGCCGCCGAAGGGAGTCGTCAGTGATGAAAATTGACTTGATTCATCAGGGAGTTTCGAGTCTTTTAACATCATACACTCCATTACCAAGCCAACCCTAATCAGGTGAGATCAAACCCTGAGTCCCCCTCTGCTATCAAACGCTAGCAGAGACTAAAAACTTTAGACTAGATTGGATGAAAGTAGACCATGTTTTCCGCGCACTTGATTGGATGTTCGTAACAACCAATCCACTGCGCGGACTGAATTTTTAAATTGTCCACGGGAGACTGGCAAATTTTTTCTCTCTGTGGATAAACAAATATCTATTTCTTTTCCTGTTTATTATAATTTAATTCAATATCTGAGCTTGACTTTTTCTTTTTTGTTTTTGTCTTTTAGAACATTTTTGCAAGGTTCAATTTTGCACAGGCATTCGCTGAAATCATTTTCCAAAGATTCTAATCCTGATCAATTTTTGTTTTTAATTTATATATTGCGTGCACGCTTATTTATTATAAAAATGGTATACTTGTATAATCAATTGAAAGGATTTTAATTTTTGTATATACACTTATTGTACTTTGGACTTCTTTTGAAAACAATTTAATAACGTTTTAAAATGTTCACTGCACACCTAAGATCCTCTTTACAGCACACAGCTTGAAAATCACTGGTCTAAATCGTTATAAATAACTAGATAAGCAGTTAGTTAAAATTAGCATAAAAATATTAAACTGATCCCCAACTTAATATCCAAAGCTAAAAGTATTTAGAATTAGCTAAGAGTCTTGAATGAACAGCGAATGACTATAAAGTGTAGTGGGATTTATTCTTTTGATAAAAAAATTATAAGCTCCTGGTACATTTGACCGGCTAACAATTTTGTTGAACTCGTATAAATCCAAAGGAATAATTAATAAGACAGAAAATCTGAACAAAGAAATAATAACAAATATATTGACAACACATTTTACAAACGAAAAAATGAGAAATGAAATGTGAAAAGTTCAGAGGAGCTTTAAGTGCCTTCAGTTAATTACTCACATTTTGCAGGAGTGACAAGAATACGTCTTTTCACGATGAAAAGTCACCGAGAAAAAGATCGAGTCTTTCAAATCTCGCGCCGCCTGTAAATCGTCAAGGAGTAATAATTCCCAAATCTCGCCGCAGTGAGATTTTATTAATCAGAGGGCGTTAATTTAACAAAAGAGTTGTCATAAGAGAATTAGTAATGCTGAGAAGTAATAAGACAGGAAGCTGTGGAGGCCTAGAATATTTGAGGAAATATTACAGCGAATATAATGGTAAATAATAAGTCAATTTATAATTTCGGTGGCAAACCCGATTCATTGCAATAGTTTTTCTTATGACGATAGCATATTTTAAAGCAATGCAACTTAGATACACATCGTTGCTTTCCACAGGCCTCTTTCGATCGATGTCCCCTACATAATACCTGTATAGTGGACAAAGTAGAACGTTTCTTTTTATTAAAATGGATTAGATAGACCAGCAAATATTTAGTTAATCTTTGCACAAAACATATTGACTGAAGTTTTTAATTAAGAAATACTTGTCGAAACGTTATCTGGAAGAAGGACAAGACCGTATATACACGCGTATAAGTCGACTTCATGTACAGTGCGACACATGAAAAATTTTTAATGAATTTCAACCTCTTCGGAAAAGGTTTTTCTGTGTATAGCGCGATGCTTATTTTTAGTGTAAAAAATGATCCTAAAACTCACACTATACAGAAATATATACAGTACTTTGTGTTAAAGTTTCTCACAACAACCAGAAAGACTTTACCTTCTTTAACATAGTCTCCAGCGTCCCTTCGTTACTTGCACGACTGCTAATTTCTTGAATTCTGTCCTTGAACCGAAATAGCTGAAAAAGAAAATGGCGTTTCTCCTGAATTAGCAGATTGCCTGATGCGGCAACATTTGACCAGATGTACAAAAGAAAGAAAAATAGACGAAAGAACAGCAAGTTTATATATATATATATATATATATATATATATATATATATATATATATATATATATACTTAATGAACAGCAGACACTTTAAGGTACCATAAGAGTAATTTATTTCACCAAAATCCTTTTTAAAGGATTTTGGATCATCATCTTCATTGTTGGAAGTGTTACCTGATGATTGGTGAAATAAATTATTGTAATGGTACCTTAAAGTGTCTGTTGTTCATTAAATATTGGCTCTGTTCTTCACATTGAGCTCTCAGGATTTCATCCTCTTTGGATTTACCAATTCAGTTTACCAAATTCTTCATAACTTAGCTATATATATATATATATATATATATATTGGAATATGCAAGTTACCGCGGCAAAAATGCACATTTGTCGCGGTAACTTGCATGTTCCAATGTAACTGTTTATAGTAGATATTCATTGCTTTACTTCTTGTATTGAGACCTTTTTTGAATTAATATTATGAACGTTTGATTTATATTCTTTTCGTTCTTTTTTGGATATTTATATATATATATATATATATATATATATATATATATATATATATATACTGGCTGTAATTGTCCATCCTACAAAATGTTAATATCTAGAATACCACTAAACTGAGTTTCTTTTTTCCAGGTTTTTAAATAAGATGTTTGGCCCTACACCATCTGAATCACTGAAAAATCCTTTGAGATACTCAGCTAGAAAGAGAACAGGTTAAAATAATTTTGTGTCAACCCAATATATATATATATATATATATATACATATATATATATATATATATATATATATATATATATATATATATATATATATATATATATATATATATATATATATATATATATATATATATATATATATATATATATATAATGAGAGAGGATCGGGAGAAACAATCGTTCGAAACTTGCCTTCTGTTCCATGAGGATACCAAGAGTTATGGAATCGTCTTTGTCAACTCGGTTGCCCATTATTTGCTCCAGCTGTTCCCAGTGTCGTGGTTTCAACGATGGATTACAGAGGCTGAGAACGATTGGCACAATTTGCTTAAAACTCAAGACGCTTTCCCGCAGTTTCGGTACGAGTTCGTTTGGTGGTAAACCTAAATAATAATAATAATAATAATAAACATGACTTAATTCATGGGGGTTGTATAACTGCAAAAATAAACAAATGATACACAGGTATGATGTCCAACACAACAATGCTACATCATTTTTTTGTTTTTTGACGAACGACTGTAACTTCAGCGTATAATTAAAGGTGCACATTATGAAAAGATATCCACAATTCACAGATCTTTCAACTCTTAAAAAGCATGAAGATGATTACATATGCAAATTATTAACGTCTTACCTCGGGATCAATGAACAGAATGACGGGAGAGTTCCTAAGATTTATACTAAACTAGTTGATCGATTTTCCTTACTAACTCATCAACTAAGTGGTCATTTCAAGATGAGCACGTTCTCTATCATGTTACTCACAATTCAGTTGCATTCCATTCTCGCTAGCTCCGTTTCATTCATTTTGTCGCGCGTTGATTACCAGTGCAGCTGTTTTTCTCAAGAGAAGCTACGTTTGTACAAAGATTTAGGTTTTTATATTCTTATACTTGTATACAATGTTTAACCATAACTTGAAGAAGGCAGACATATTGTCGAAACATTGTTAAAACACTGAGTATTTTCTTTTTTTTTTTTCTTCTGTGAGTGTTGAACAATATTGGAATAGTTATGTCAGTCATTTTGTTTAATAATAGTATTAATAAATCTGAGAGAAACACCGCCATGAAACTTATCGAGAAATTGTCCAAATACAAGGACCTGGAGATCGAGATGAACAGGATGTGGGGAATGAAGACTGAGACTGTACCAATAGTAATCGGAGCACTGGGCTTCCTGAGAAAAGGAATGGACAATTTTACAGTGCCCCAGGTAAGATCAACATACAGGTTTCCCAGAATATCACCCTACAAGGAACATTTCATATAAGAAAAGTGCTATGAATTAAATGAAAATTCTCCAGTAGAGCCTAACGACCATAGTTTGAACCTGGATCTACAGGATACAAAGCAGAAAACATAATAGACACGAATAATAATAATAATAATAATGATAATAATAATAATAATGGTAATAATAACAAAATATTGTACTTACAAGTGCAGCCCAGACCTTATGAAAGGCTTTATCTATGTAAAATATGTGTGATCTTAAGTGTTTTTTGTTTTTGTTTTTTCTTGAAAATGAGTATACACCAGAAATCAAAGAAAATATAATAATAATAATAATAATAATAGCAGTAGTAGTAGTAGTAGTAGTAGTAGTAGTAGTAGTAGTAGTTACGAGCATTTGGATTAAAGGCTGAAACAGAAGCCCTTATTCTTGCAGCACAAGACCAGAGTCTTTTCACTAGAAACTTTCAGGCAAATATCATACATAATAGTGTGGATCCAAAATGCAGGTTCTGTGACAAATATCAGGAAACCATAGATTATCTAATCTCAGGATATCCTGTACTTGCACCAAATCAATATTAAAGTCGACAATGTGCAAACACTTTGGAAAAGATGTTAATTAATACTGGTATGAACACCACACAGCGCCGGTTATAGAAATAGAAGACATTATAATTCTATGGGATTATTGAAACAAATAGGCCGATCATAATTGTCAAAAACCGAAAAGAAAAAATTTGTTTACTAATAGATATGGCTTGCCCAGTGGACTGTAAATAGCAACCAAGAAATTGTAAAAACTATCAAAGTATAAAGACGTAGAAACCGAAATAGAAAGAATGTGGAAATTGAAAGCAAGAATAATAACTGTCATAGTAGGAAAGCTTGGAATGATAAAAAAAGGAACGCAACAATACACTGAAAAATCACTAGAAGTTCAAGCTTAACAGAAATACAAAAAATGTCTTGATAAGTACAACCCACACACTAAGAAGAATTTTCTCTATGGAACGCTAATGACGTTATGGAAGTTGGAAAAACAAATCATAAAATGTAGCCATAACAACACACCATTACCTGTCTTAAGTCTTCCCGTCCTGGGTAAGACGATAAACTACATCTGACAGCAAGGCCTCTGATCAGGGGGTTTTGAGGAGCATGAAACCACCTCTTAATTGCTGGCCTATCTCTTTATCTCAGTATGTTCCTGTCTATCTATGTATCTCATTCAGTTCATATCTGTCTGTCTTTCTATCCCAGTATGCTCCTATCTATCTCATTCTGTTCAGATCTATCTATCTATCTATCTATCTATCTATCTATCTATCTATCTATCTATCTATCTCATTCGGTTCATATCTATCTCTCTATCTCAGTATATTCTTATCTATCTCATTTTGTTCATATCTACCTATCTCTCTATTTCAGTATGTTCCTATGTATCTCATTCTGTTCCTATCTATCTATCTATCTATCTATCTATCTATCTGCCCAAATATACAATGTGCATATATATATATATATATATATATATATATATATATACATATATATATATTTATATATATATGTGTGTGTGTGTGTGTATATATATATATGTCCTGTGTGAGACGATTGCGTCTAGCATGAAACAGCCTGTCGCCTCTAAGTGTTGACTTCAATGTTCACTTTTATATTTACACACGCTCTATCTCTGATATTGAGCACTTTATCCCATAAATATAGCACAACTTAAGACTATATTTCTTCATATATATATATATATATATATATATATATATATATATATATATATGAAATAATTCCAGATAGTATATATCTGTAAAAGGACAATATGGTTAAAAACGAAAATAAAACTTATTTTTGATGACGCGTTTCGTCCTAAATAGTAATTTATCAAGGTAAGTCCCTTTATTTATTTTTGTTTATTCTTGTTTGTTTTTATTTTTCGATTTTTAAGTAACGTAGTAAATAATTGTCTTCATCACATTTAAGATGAGTTCTTATCGTTTATTTAGGAGTTTGCATTTGTCTGAGAAAGTAATTACAGCTATTTTATCCTCCAGACAGAGTTTACAGTTTTGAGATTTATTGCTGTAAGCTGATGCTTTTTTCCTTATTTTTCATGAGATTTTTGTTGTGGTTTTAATGAAAATTAAAAACCAATAAACAAAAATAAAAAAACAAATAAAATAAAATAAGCAAAAATAAGCAGAATAAATCCGAACTAATAAATAAGTAAATAAATTAAGTAAATAATAAACAAATAAAAAAATCCCGCACACATAAACACAAGTAAACATAATAGCAATAAAATAATCGGTAATGAATTAATAAACGTTAACAGATAACACTATAAATTGCCAAAAAACTGCATCTGGATCCACAATTATTTCCATCCAATAGCACCTACAATATTTTGAAATATTAGCGTTACCGGCGTCCAGAACAACCGTTAGATAATACTATAAAATACCCACAATGTATCACTGACTTGTATATATATATTCCTCGATAGGGGAAATTTGTTTATATTCATTGTAGGAATGTTGTGCTTATATTTCTTTTTTGCCAGTAGGAGAAAGGCGTTAAATATTTTTTTTCTGTTTGTGTGTCTGTACATGAATTGTGCTTACCTTTTTCAAGCATGTAGACAGTCTGTGTGAACCTGGTCATTTGCTTCTGGAGATTGTCAATATCGATGCCTTGAAATGGAACAGACATCCACTCAACAACCAATTTATTCCATTCCTTGTCAGCTTCCAGAACCAATTTTCGCAAACCAAGATCTCGTTCCAGTTCAGTCAGGTCTTTGAATATTCGCATGATGAAGTATTTGGAATCTTCGGTCATGTCTTCTTCACTGCAGAATCGTCATTAGAAAAATCATTTCAAATTCAAAGAAGCAATAATTGTAAAGATGTAACTACGCAAACCACATAATAATGTCCAATTAGTATTGATATAAAAACACCAACATATATCCACGCCTACTTAATTCAGTCAGTTATGTGCCATACATGATACACGCTTAGGCGATCATGTATCGAAAGATACATGACTGACGAGGCATATTTTTTCCTGCAGTAGGTTCCCATCTCTTTCTGAGGTAGGCCAGTTGTCATCAAAGGCTAAAGAACCAGCTCTCTCCTATTTACACATAGCTGGGGGGAGAAGAAAAGCATATTTTCCCAAGGGTATTAGCACGTAAGTGGATGTAATTGATTCGACTGGAATACGAACTCGGCTCGCCAATTCCTCAGTCCGAGCCGCTATCCATTACTCCACCGTACAACACTGAATTTACGCACATATACAAAGTAGTCCTTATAAACGATTTAATAAATAGAGCACATTTAATTTCCTCTATACACACAATATTTCTAAACGAATTCAAAACTATAAAAGCAAGCACTCATTAATAATTTCTCTCACTTCATCCTTATGTACCGTGTCCCTTCAGGACGTAGGCGATCATGGCTCTCTCAACAATTTCATGTCCTTCGTAGTCAATTGTGATCAAAATAACAAAGATGAGGATACTTGATAGAATGATTCATGGAATAAAGCTTTTTATGGTAACTCATTTGTTATCCATTTGCAATGCATTTTTAAAGTAAATCTATTTTGATCAAAATAACAAAGATGAAGATACAAGTCTGAACAAGTCTGCTATTCTTCATCAATATCCAAAAGGAACACTGCTTCTAAGAGAAGATAAAAAAATAGCAAATTTATTGAGAGACACAAAGGACAGGAAATCTTTTTCTTTTTTTTTTTTTACTTCGAAACCATCTTCCACCATCCATTTACTCAAATTGATTTTCATGCATTGTTTTCCTCTTGCCTTCAAGCTGTCCCGTGAGTATCAGATTTTCCAAGCCCTCGTTCCTCATTATGTGCTCTAGAAACCACAACTCTCTCTTCATGATGTTAAGTATATGTTTCCTTTTTGTTTCCATTTTCTCTAAAACTTTGTCGCTGTTCATATGTTAAATCCATTTTATCCTCAGCATCCTTCTGTAGAACCACAATCCTGCTGCTTCAAGTCTCTTCTTCATCTTTGAGGAGATTGTCCATCATTCACTGCCATATAAGACAGATATCACGTAACAGTTCACTATTCTTTTCTTTGTTTTTCACAAGATTTTTCTGTCTCTTAATACTCTGCTTAGCTTTTGGAATGCATCTTTGGCCAATCCAATGCGAACTTGGATTTCGATGTTGTATTTTCCGTCCTCTATTAAAACACTTCCACAAATATTTAAATTATTGTACTCGCTTGGTTTTGGTATCTCCGATTTGTAATTTACATTTTGGTCTAATCTTTTTGCTAACAACCATACATTCCGTCTTCTTGTAGTTGATATTTAATCCTTTCTTCTCTCTTTCCTTCACTACTCCCTAACTAATCATAGTAAGTATTTTCTTTACACGGTATGGATGGAGTTGAAGTTGTGGTATTGTCCCATGAATGTTGCTCTTTCTGAGCGACGGTTCGGTTCAACTTTCTTTCTACGGACAGAGAGGAACCCGAAGGAGGCTACGCCGAAGGGCGGAGTCTGCTTCGGGGAGGTAAAAGCGGCCCTGAACCCGTTTATACAGGTTCAAATGGGCTATTTTTTGGCCGAGCCTAATGGCTCGGAAATGCCCACGTTAAAAAGGCTTTGTGTCACATGACGCCCTCGTGGGGGGACGACTAAATATAGTCCCATGAATGTTGGCTTGCAGTATACAGATGTTTTGAACCCATGCTCTATTCGAGATATTAGTACGTCCAGGAATGCTAGTTTATTCCATCGATGGACTCATATTGAGTGTAAATTGTTCAGTAGTAACTGGAACTGTTCCTAGTGCGGCCAGAGCCTGAAGGTGTCATCTCAGCCATACGGTTGGCTTTAGGGATTTGGATTCTAAGATCATTTCCTTGAAGCCATTACTGGTGATAATGGCGAGCCCACGTCTAAGCTTTCTTCCTGTTGATGTCTATCTCATTCCGAAAATCAGCCTCTCCATCAGATTATCTATTTGTATATTGTTACGTTCTCCTAGAGATGAGTCCAAGGCCGGTCTGTCCCTGACTACTGATAGTGCTTCCTCCGTAGATGCCCTGGTGAACAAATTCACTATGTCCACTCTCGCCATCTGGATGGAATGCATCAGAGCATCTTTGATTATTTCCACGAAGTTGACAGAGTTTCGGACATATAATGGTGACTTTCCTATAAATAGGTCAACTATATCCATCAGGAAGCGACTCAGAGGGTGGTAACTAACAACTGGCCTAAGAGGATTATCGTCGTTGTAACCTTTAGGGAGACCATATATTTAGGGTAGCTTGCTATAACGTTGTGACAACTGCTTGTAAGTCTTTGGTGGGAATTGGTCCTTGTTCCTAATTAGAATCTGAGATAGTTTTCTGTCTGATTTCATTGTTGAGTGTTTACTTTGCTATAGCTACCATTTCTGATGTGGTCTTCCAGTTTCCCTATATATATATATATATATATATATATATATATATATAGTCCTGGTGAAAATTGCTGGCACCCATGAAATATCAGTACAAATGTAGAATATCTTCTGAAAAAAAAAGAATCTATTGAAACACCTTTGGTCTAATGACAACAAATGGTTGATAATAAAGAAAAAATGATAGAAAAATAGGTCTGTCTATATTTTTGAGATGAGATATTGTAATTATTTACACTATTTACATTGTTCAAGGACACATGGCCCAGTTGATAAAAGCGTTGGTTGAATCCAGTAACTTGAACCAAAGATTTGTGAGTTCAATACCTGGCTACTGCTGAGGTGAATAAATACTTGGGGAGTTGAGTTAAAGGGAGATAACTAATACTGAGATACCCGGAGGAGGCATGGCACGTGGAACTAGTACAATTTACCCCGGTAAACGAAATAAAGGGTTCAGTTCAAAATTTCAATCAGCGGAGCGTGCAACAACCGAAACGTCGGGAATGTGGCAACAAAGATGAGGGCAACAGTCTGAACAATGCAAATAGTGTAAATAGTTATAATAGCTCATCTCGGAAATATAGACAGATCCTGAAGAAGAACGGAGCGCACGATTGTCGAAACGTGGTGAATATGGTAATAAAGATGAGTACAACAGTCCGAACGGTGTACATAGTGTAAATAGTTACAATACTTGATTTCAGAAATATAGACAGATCCTGAAGAAAGCCAGAGCATACAACGGTCGAAACGTCGGGAATAGGACAATAAAATTGAAAACAATGTAAATAGGGATTATCTAGCAAACTAGTAAATCAATATCCTCAGAAACAAGCGGCTAAACATTACTTTTACATATATTTTTATGACTTTATTTTGGGTGGATACCTATATTTGAGGAGACACTCTATTTATTTTTAAACAGTATTTTATCTCGTCTATTGGATTGAGAATAGAAATTTTATTAGAGACAAATGTGTCCATTGGCAGTATTCGAACCTGCGTCCTCCTTTGCAGGATAAACCGTCATTTGATACGATATGTCTTCTTGGTTTGTCTGAGAACTTTCAGCGTAATCGTATTTGTATATGTGAGTTTGTACCTGTTTTCTATCTCGACATTATCAGTCCCGGGCTGGTATCTCGGTTTCAGTCACTTTCCCAAAGCAAATGCCCTGTGTCTTTTCTATAAATAGCTTATATCTAGTGTATATAAAAACAGTAGGTTTACAAAAGGCAGTAGAAGGAAGAAATAACAGCTCAGTTATCGCCCCGTTTACGCTGAGTCCAAGAACACACTACCTGGACTAGGGATTGAACTCGCAATTACTCTGTCACCAAATTCACCAACCAACTTAAGAACCTTAAGCTTAACCTGACTGCGGGTGAGTGCTGCTACTGATTGTCATGCTTGACTACATTCACTGAGGCTTCCTCTTTTGTTACAGATGCTGCTGCTGCTGTTGAGATTTGCTGTCATTTCTCTTTCTTTATTAGCGGCTTTTCTTTTATTATCGCACCTAATGTTATCATCACCCATCAACAGGCAGATTAAGTTTCAGTTTCCAAGTTCTCCACTCAGAATTGTCCCACAGAACAGCCAAGTGTTTCGTAAATGTGGTGACAGAGTAATTGCAAGTTTAATCACTGGACCGGGCAGTGAGTCCTTGGACTCAATGGAAACGGGCGAGTAATAACTGAGCAGAACTAAAAAAATAAGAACTAGACGAAATAACCGTAGACATAGGAAGGGGAACAAGAACAGTTTACCCGCCCCATAGATTAACTAGCAAGTGTTCAGTTCGAAATTACCCGGATCGACATACACTTGATTAAGACTAGAGAATAAATTAAAAGAAACGTTGTAATAACAACAAAGATAAGGACAATTGTCCGCAAGCAGATAATTTAAATAAAAATGGACGATGCCTTTCTTCTTATACATCAAAAAAATGCTTACCTTTCTTTTCGCTTTAGTTCTCTTTGATGACTAGACAAATGTTCTCCGTTGTTAGAATAATCCTTTAACGTGTTTGATAGTTGTCTCAGTTCATCTTCCAAGTTTTGGAGTTTCCTCAGAGCAAGGCTTTCTGATTTGGAGAGAGTGAGAAGATTAGGGTCCCGTATTTTCATCCCCAGGGCCGTCACATCAGCGCCAGTTTGCGTAATAAGCAAGTCCAGTTCTTCTTGGAATGTCTCTATCTTTCCTTCTTTCGTTGCCTCACTAGCAATTAGTGTTGACTAAAAAATGAATCCAGAAAGAAAAGTCCAATCAATACTGCTGCCTTCCATTAAAGCTGGAAAGTTTTCTAACAAAGGACGGTAAATGCGACACTGAGATCCGAAAATTTATTGGGATGGCCAAAGACGCATTCCAAAAGCTAAGCAGAATATTACAAGAGGGGAAGTTTTCGTTGGTAACAAAGAAAAGAGTACTAAACTTCTACCTGATATCTGTCCCACTTTACGCCACTTGTTTTTTTCTTTCATTTTTTTGTATATATATATATATATATTGATTTGTATGGATATTAGATTGTAACCCTGACTTTCACGCTTTTTGCAATCATCAGACAGTTTGTCTGAAGATCGCAAAAGCGTGAAACCCAGGGTTACAAACTTATATCCATAAAAACTAAATATGTTAGCTCTACTACAAATATTGAGCACTTTCCGCGAAGTACTGTGCATACAAAAAACGATATATATATATATATATATATATATATATATATATATATATATATATATATATATATATATAAAGATAAAACGCTAACCGGAACACTACCGGGGTTTCTGATCGACAAGGTATCGTCAGATGGTTTATTCAGCAAATTAATCAGAGACAACACAAGAACTTAAATTCCTTAATGCGACACCGGAAATAATGGAGCGAGTGGAAATAATGAAGGGGAGGGAAAAATTTTTCCAACTTCATCTAGGTTCGTATAGAGCCAAAGTTAACTTTCTGATATGCCTACATTTGGCCACGATCTCAAACCTTCCATTCAACAACTCAGCACTAGCCTTGCATATCGCCATCTTCTCCTCCTGACACAGCCTATATGACTAGCTTTTACATTTCGTCAAATATTCCGATTAATGGCCGGGGTTCTTTCATTCGTTTCTCTAAATTTTCAATAGTAGTTCACCAGCTTCGTATTGAACTTGCGTTCTAGCATTGTAAATGATGCTGTATGTTTATACCACGTCTTTTTAAATTGGCCTTCAGTGCAACCAATGTATTTTTTACACTGCTAGCGCAACTGTAGCTCAACTTGACTGTATAACGGCTGAATAACTTAATTTAGAGAGCTAAAATCATTTTCCCTATATTTGTTTTTACTTGCATGTTGAAGGGTGGGTTGAACCAGATGACATTCCTTTTTTCTTTTTTTATTGTCATTTGTTCTTGGGGGTCAGCTTAGTTCTTGAAACACAGGTTGACATTATGTTCCTCCTCTCTTAAAATAGATACATATATTTTCTTTTTTCATTGAATATTTTTCCTTTGAAAATTTTTTAACAATTCTCGCTCTCTCTCTCTCTCTCTCTTTCTCTATCTATCTATCTATCTATCTATCTATCTATCTATCTATCTCTATATATATGCACAAACTTACCAGACCCCATCTGAAACATAATAGTAGAAAATACAAACATAATAACCTCATCCAAAAAAGATTTAAAATAATGGAAGCTTTAATAATAAAAAGAAAAAGCCAACACTTAATATTAAATACGAACACGGCCACAATGTGCTGACTGTGTTCGGAAAATAAAACATCGCTATAACTCTAAAAACATTTACACAACACATATGCCCAGTTAAAAAGAAAAAATAGTATCATCCTTGATAATGTCTAAAGTATAGCCGGAAGCGCTCGGAATTACAAAACATTTGAACGGTTTTTACATAATCTGTGTCCAGAAAAAAAAAACACTTGTTCGAACACAAGAAAAATTAAATAAAAAGCTTAATCGTAGTACCTTGTCTTTCTTTTTTAATGAAACACGCACGTACACACACACACACAAACACACATACCGTCTCCTTTAATGAATGATATTTTATTTAATGTGGGCTGTTTATTTTGCATAATAATAGCTTCTAGGTGTTTAAGTCTTTCTTTTCTTTGTGTGCTGTACAGTATTTTTGTATTATCCACTAGTAGTTTTTTTATGTTGACAGCTACATCTTGGTCGTTTGTGATATCATGCTCGACATGTGCACGGACTGCACTGAGGTTTGACATATGGCAAGCCAATCTGCGATAAAGTGTAGTGCATGTGTAGCCGATATAAGAACTCATTCCCAATAAACGTCACTAAAATGTTTCCACCCGACGTTAGAATGACTTCCAAGAAAAATGCTAATATTTGGTCAGATTTTAAAAAGTGTGTCAAACTACGAACTTTTTAGTAACCCCTTGTATGTATATTTTTAATACTAAAGTTGACCTAATACAATGCTCCAGAGCCACTCATAGTAGAGGGTTACTGAATGAGGTGTGTGATATGAATGCAAGAAGATATAGAAGGAAGTGAAGATTATGGAGATAAGAAGGATATATAACAGCTAATTTTTGATTGAAGAGGTTAAGTGTTCAGAAAAGCATCCACACGGGAGCCTGTTCCAAAAAGCATCAATTCTTGGGAAATATGTGCCTAAGTAGGACTTCCTTTTTACAACTTCTTTATGGAGGAAATTAGGCTGATTCGAATCCGTGAATGGAGCACAGCGTGTTCTAGCTGTAAATATCTGTAGTATAACTAAAGAATGAAGCTCATCTGATATTGATATAGCGATAGGTTAGCAACATTTGGGAAAGAGGCTGTAGAGTGGAAAATAAACAATCTTTTACAAAAACGTGGAAACGATTTTGAACTCAGGCCGGAAAGTGAAGATTGGTCGCCTCCAACCAAGACATGATAGCAATGCTCCATTTTTAGTCTGATCTTATAGTCGAAACAAAAGATGCTTACCTTCATCAGTTGAAAAGATGGCGCCAAGGTCATGTAAAGAGCAAGTGATTCTTCATTGATCTTCATTTCATAAAGCCTGATCAGAGAGAAGAGCTTATTGACCACATTGAATTCTACTTCAAGATCTGCTAAATCGTGATTTATTTGGTTGATCAACAATAAGTGTTCAACGCACTCCTCAACTGAGACGGGATCATGCTCCAAGTTACTGATGTTGTCCTGTGAGAATTTAAAAAAAAAGAATATTTTTAAGAAAAAAATTAATTCGGTCTCTGGATGAAGATAAGTTTTTTTTTTTTTTTATTTCACCCCAAGGAAGGCAATAAAGCCACTAAGACGGAAAGGGTTACTGACTACTCACCATTAAAAGAACACTAAAAGAACTGGAAATATGAAAACAGAAGGTAATGATTGATATTGCATACATATTTTTGAGGATTCAGGGCAATTGGGAAGCCGGGAAAGAGTTCCACAGGCGAGAAGTGCAATCGAAGAAACTGCATTGAACAATAACTAATAATAAATAGAGTAATTCTAACAATAAATTATATTAAAGTTTTGTGTTGGATAGACGATTCGATTTTTTAAAGCATTTTGCCCTAAACGCAGCGGAAGTGCCACTAGAACAAGGGGCTACTGAGAGTAAAAGTAAGGGAAACGACTGAGTATTGGGGGGACTTGAGAAAAGGATAAAAACAAGAACGGGGGTCAAGACATCAGAAGATGTCGATTGACATTACATTTAAATTTTGGAAGATTATAGTTATCAAGGAAGCAAGTAAGAGGAAGGGAGTTCCACTGTCAGGAAGTACGAGAGAATAAGCTGTTGAAGTAGAAGGGGCAGTTACATTTAACTGTTTCAACAGTAAAAGAATGGGACCGAGATGTCAACCTAGTAGCACGCTTAAATTCATGTAGTCGGAGCACCAGTGAAAATAGCTTGTCGGAGCAGATGCCATGAAAATATTATAGAAAAGACAGAGGGAAGCCACATTACATCGGTGAGAAAGTGACTATACATGCATATAACGTGCAGCGGTTCTTGGGAACAAGCTGCTGGAGTGGAACATGACGCTACCTGCAAAAAAAGTGGAGGAGGCTGTCCAGGTCCATTATTAACGTAAGATCGAAAATGGGCGGTGAAAAATTAAATTCGATTATGTGATGATCATGAAAAGAAACTGACCTTGATTTTTCTAAGCAAAGCAAGGTTATTCTTTTGGGCAATATCCGGGATATGAGATCGAAGATAATCGAGAACTTTGGACGGATAAGGAATACACGACGTGTAAAATTCAGAGCTGTGTATTTGCATCATTCCAAATCTCCGAGAGACGGTCATGTCGTTCATCAGTTGTAACTGGAATAGAAACAAATTGTAAACTTTATAAAACTGATACATATTCGTCCTTTATTGCTTTTCACATCCAAGATTATAATGTGGAGATGTTTGCAATGAGCCGTTCTCAATGTGAACTGAGCACAAGGCGTTTTGCTTGAACGTATTTGTATTCAAATGATATTTTGACAAATGGGCCACATATTCTACGGTCTACCATTTTCATACTTAATGATAATACTATTTTGTATCCAAATCAGGTTCTTATTCAGTTGATAGGTGAGCAATTTATACTGATCGGGAGATTGGAAGTTTTAAAGGTCGTGAAAACACCTCTTAATTGCTATTATTCGGAGGTCCACCCTGACCCGGGGTGTTAGCACCTGTTGCAACCTGGGGAATTAGATGGCCAGATATAAGGGGTGATGTGGTCGCAGAAATTGTCTGACAGCTATAACTAGGTTCTCCTTGCTTGCGTGGCATGGTGAAGAGTCCTGTTGCCAGACATAGTGTCTTCTCGCTGCCACCCTCTTAACCCAGGGCAGTACTACTTCCTCAAGGCATTTAATGTAGGCCTCCATGCTGACCTTAGGCTCTCCCCAACAAATTCGAGAGTTATTTTCTTATCAGAATGATCAGAATGTGTTTTCCGAGCTGCCGTACTTTCGTAATCACCATTAGACTCATCCAACTCTTTCCGAATCCTCTGTACGATCCTCATATTGACACCTGAACACTTTGAAATGTTCTTTTTAGAGCTTCCGACGCGAATGCCAAGCAGTGCAGCATGCCGTTTCCAAATTTATGGTAGAGGGAATTGTGTCATGGTGCTCGTTTTCTCACAGGCAGTTCCCAACAAACCTTACTATATTGTGCAGTCGACAAAATCAAAAGCAACAAATAGAAAATGGCGACAATTTACCCATGATGGATAGTCAGGATTCAAACTTGCGTTCGCCTAAAGGAAAACATCATTAGATCCGATATGCTTTGGACCTCTCTACCACGGAATGCATCGATAATCAGACAACGTTGAATAGGCCCTTTAAGCGCCATCGACGATAGAGACTGGAACAAATGAAAATCCGAAGGAAACCAGTTAGGAGAATAAAGTGAATGCTGGAGAGTTTCCCATTACAATTCTTTAAGCTTCTGCAAGTTCTATCTATGCAACATGCGGTCTTGCATTGTCGTAGTGGAAAATTTTACAATAATGTTCCGCATGTAGCAGTAAGATCTAATAACTACCTGGCATGATGTATAATCTACGATATTAATATTTTATAGGAGTTGATGTTGAATTTAATGTGTTGTCACTAGAGCAGACGATTCTTAAATGTTTGTTAAGTTATAGCGATACAATATACGGTATCTACCGGTATGTTTTATAGGTTGTTTGCTATACAATGCATATAGAAATATATTACGGTTAGTGTCTAAATAGTAGGTCACATTCTGTTCATATCTATCTACCATATTCTGTTCATATCTATCTATCTCTATATCTATCTATGTATCTAACTGTTTTACGATGGGTGTTAAGGGGTTATTTTTTTATTAATGATGAAACAATTTAAACAAAAGATAAATGTAATCTTTGAATTGGAATTATGTTTTACCATTTCTGTCTGTGAGGCTAAGATGTTGGAGTATTTATCAGGATTGAAGTCCATATCGGATCCAAAAATAACTCGATCCACGCTGATGGAGTTCTCGACTAAACGTCGGTATTTTGTGAATTCCTGTTTAGAGATAAATAGCATACAGAAAAGTGAAAGCGTTCAAATTCAATCATGTTGTGCCAATCATTTATTAACAAGAACAATAGAAAAATAAGACAGAAAGTTAGACGGTTAAAGAGGGCGAAGACCACCTTTAATAAGTTGTAAAATGATCCTGGAATAATATATATATATATATATATATATATATATATATATATATATATATATTTGAACTTTATTTCAATCCTTCATGAGCTTCCGATCCTTAGTTATGATTAATGATGAACATGTCATTCTCGTTTATGATCGATTTTATCACGATTTTTCTGTTAACCTTGGAGAGTAATTATGCATTCTTATTGCTTAAAGGAGAGTGTTATAAAAACCTCGGAGAATTCCACTAAGATATCTTTAATCATTTCTAAGATACAACGGTTCAAACTTAATCTAACAAGTTTTCGTAAAGGCCTGATACCTGTTAGTCTGTTTAATATAAAATGTGCGACGACAGTCTGTTTCATGCTTCAAGGAAATCTTCAGACCATGTGTTGTTACTGGCGTTCTAATAATACGTATATATATATATATATATATATATATATATATATATATATATATATATATATATATTCTCAAATATGTATTGTTAAATATAACAAACAATGAATGTCTATTATGTTTGATAATGAGCCGTTCTAAAACTTTGTATATTTGCTTTAGTTTCGAGTGGAAATAAAGACAAAAATTATCCATCATTCGGATACTTTTTATTAAGCTGTTCCTTGATCGTGTTTCGGCTCACATGGGCCATCTTCAGAATGGTTATACGGACATTTAAACAGAAATATTCACCATCAAAGATTATATTGCGTCATTTTCAGACGAAGTTAAAGTGATCATACAAAGTTTAGAACGGCACATGGTCAGGCATAATAGACATTCATTGTCTGTTATATTTAACAATACATGTTTAAATAAAGATTTACTGCCGATTCTATATATATATATATATATATATATATATATATATATATATATATATATATATTTGGTTAGATAGATAAAACCAATGATTTGGGTTTAACGCTTTAGCGATCGTCAGACAAACTGATTAATCAGTTTGTTTGACGATCGCAAAAGCGTGAAACCCAGGTCACAAACTCACATCTATCCAACCAAATATGTTAGCTCTATCTCTGATATTGAGCGCTTTTAATAAGTACTGCGCATATAATATATAAATAATTATACATATATATATTTATTTATATTTATATACACTTTTCACATCTATATATATATATATATATATATATATATATATATATATATATATATATATATATATATATATCAGTCTGGGTTGAAATTCAAAACGAAAAAATATAATGATGTTTCTATTTACTAAAGCATAGTTTTCAATATCTTTCAGTTGCATTTTAAAGAAATTCCTAATCTTTGCCAAAATGTATTGATATTCGCCATCTTCCCACAAAAGATGGTCAAGATAAGGCCAAGGGAATTGGTTAGATATGTGTGGGTCCCCGGATGTTTGCACATCTTCGACAACATCACATTGGTGCGCATCTCCAAAGGTTGGGTTGGAGAAAGCGGATAAAAGTTTTTCCTGTTTCATCGGAACAAATTCGCCTGAAACAAAACAAAAAAGCATATGTTTATCTTTCAAAACACGCGGATGAAAACGACGCACGATTTTTTTTTTAATTGGATTTACACGGTTTCGCAGGGGTTTGCCGCAGACATAAGGACGTACATCTGACCATTCCAAGTCCCAAACATTTATGCACTAAAAAAAATTTAACCCCTGATTTAAATTTACCGGTAGATCAAACCTGAATATCATAACAAGATGTCGACTCAAAAAACGTTTATATAACGTTATATATATATATATATATATATATATATATATATATATATATATATATATATATATATATATATATATATATAGGAACAATCATTTCATTATATATACCAGGCCTGGCAAACCATGTGACCGGGCTTTCATTGAAATTTATAGACTGGGGGGCGGACATGTGGAGACCTAAATTATTACAAAATAACAATTACTGAGAACATTTTAAAGCGAGGTTTTGTTAGTAATGTCCAGTAATTAGTTAATTAACAACTAAATTCAAAAGATTCAATTAGGAAGCATTCCCTGATTATTGACTTATTTCCATAAATACAAATGTACAAAGAAAGAACAAAAATAACCTCCTCTGCCATAAAATAACTAAATGCACAAAAATCCCTTTATTCGCCATAAATTAGAGACATTTTTCGATGATACTGCAAAAATAATGAGTTTTTTTTTATACCAATTGATTACAGAAAATATAATTGTATAATATAATCAGAATTCATTTTCAGCATTTTACAAAATCGTGTATCAATAAAGTCTGAAAATATTTTACAAAAAATGTTAATTTCAGAGAAACAATCAATTTATTGTGAGATTTTTACATGTACAATTTGTTACACAGAAGTTAAAGAAAAATACTTATTTCGCTATGATAGAATCATAGATATTACTAGTAAATATAGTTTAAAAAATTAAAATGAATTAACATTAACAGGAACACAAAATTCATTAACAGGATCATTTGGGGAGTTCATCTATTAAATATATGTAAAAAGAGAGAAAACTGAAAAAATTATCTGGTTTCCAGTGGAATTTTTTAATTATTGTTGTGGTACGATCCACCTAATTTACATAGTGGAGTACCGACCATATAAATATGGGTTGGTACCGGGAAGATATTATAAAAGGAAGGAAATTAAGAGATCCAATCCAGAGACTCTTATGACTGCGATTAAGTCAACCCATTCTACAGGAACAGTCTTCCCAAGAATATAAAAAACTAACTGTAAATATTTTGTACCTTTTCCTTGTTTCAATACATTTTGTTTACGTACATTTTGTGTTGTATTATTATTATTCCATGCTTATCCAAGCTTCAACAATTATCACAATCTTTTATATAAAAATGTTCATATTTTGAAAATAAAAAAAAATTTTATTAAATATTTCCTCTTCTTTAAGACAATCTTTTCTTGTAACATATACAAATATTTGCTATATAAAAAAGTGAGATTTTATCTTTAAAGATCCTAAATTCAAGGTTTGGTAAGTTTTCAAATGTTTAGCATCCCATTTCATCCAGCAAATGTCCACATTTTGAGCAATTATGGCCTGGATCAAAGTTTGATTCTTTGACTTCAACATTTAATTTAAGAAATAGTTTTAATTTTTTCAATATTGAAATTTTTCAGTAGCACTTTTAACCGTTATAAAATATGCACTTCATTTTTTTTTGTCTTAATTTTTCAAATTCATTTTCTAAATAGTCTGTGGTAAATTCACCAACCAAAATAAAATTAAACCGACTACTTAGTAAATATCTAGAAACATCAATTAAGCCATTGCATGTATGTTTAATAGTTAAACTAGTAGGGTGGACAGAAAAAGTTAGTACAAACCATTTTTAGTTATCCAAGGATTAATGTCAAATTTTTGGAACAAAGATTGATGGGTCCTGTTATTGTCACATACAATTACATTTATTTGACTGTTTAATTGTATCAACAATATATAAAAAAAATGTCCATAGAAAAATGTTACAGCTGGGATGATTTTAAATAAATTTTTGGTCCTCCATTTAAACACTTTACCTTGATGCCCAATATTGTTTTTGCTAATCCCTCAAAACTTTCAGCCAAACCAAATAAGTTTTTTTCCATGATATTGTAGAGCAGCCTTATCATATACTTCATCAACTAAAATACATTTTGTTCTAACTTTTAATTTTTTTTCCTTATTATCAATGTTTAAGTTTATAAGATAACGAATTGAAAAAATTGATTTATAAACCAGTTTTTAAAACATTGACATTCGACTTTTCGAAAGATAAAGAATTGTTGTATATATAGCAGGATGGTAACATTCAAATCTCAAGTTTAATTAAAAACATTGAAAAACTTTAACAGATTGTTTGACATTATTATTATTCATAAAAAATTAAATCACTGTAGAAGAAGACTAAAAAGATAAAATCATCTTTTTTTAACTTTTTATTTTATAAAATTTTAATGACACTGGTTCATTTCGCATCAAAATTCTTTTTTTTAAAGATAAAATATTAACAAGTTCATTAAAATAAATAGACATTATTTACTTCAATATCTTTTTTGATAATCTTAATTTAATTAAAATTTAAAAAAGTAAAAAAAAAAAAATAAAAATTTATTTTCTTTGCCCAATTCCAGCAACGTACATTTCCTTGTAAACAGTTGGCCCTCAGTTTTGAATTTTTTCTTAACGTGATGTAAAAGGCCTGAGTTGTTAATTCATTTTAGAATATATATATATATATATATATATATATATATATATATATATATATATATATATATATATATATATATATATTATATCAGTTTAATTAAATAAAAGTAATTCAGGAAACAGTTCTATTAAAAAAATTCAAATAACGTATAAGAAAAAATAAAAATAAAACGAATGCTTTTAGCTTTAAAAAAATTTTTTTTAAAAAATTTTTTCTTATTTTTTCTCTATTTTTATACATAACTCATATATATATATATATATATATATATATATATATATAAAAAGAGAGAGAGAGAGAAAGATAAAAAATGAAAATAAAGAGATTAACATTACATGCTAATCAAATGTCAATCAAATGTACGGAATTTTGCTAAATTTTTGAGCAGTAAAAGTTTCAAATAATTGTTGAGGTAAAAAAAAAA